CGAGTTCCTTTGCTCCAATCATATAACATTTCTGTTGGGAATTAACACAGACTATTGCAGATACAATGCACAGCAATAATATAGTTCTAGCTCTCATAAACCAATGTCAGAAGTTCATAACATGCTCCAATAACAATGATATTCAATCCCAGCAGAATGTAATTTCCAATTACAACATAAAGAAATCATGACAATGGATATAAACAGAAAATATTACTAACAAACACAAACGAAAGTGTTACCATTTTTCCTCCATCAAGTAAAATAGGAAATTCACAGAGACTTGAGTAGAGGTCTTTCTTGGTTGCATAGGCAACACGATTCACTGATCTGGAGATGAGGTCTAAGTAATCAGACGGCAGTAATCTCTCCCAATCCGGTTCATTTACTGTATTGAGAGAATTAAAACCTTCAAGTTGAAGAATCTGCTCATGAATTGGAGAACCCAGCCAGGATATGGAGCTTGAACTCGACTCTCTCGAAGGAGCTAAAGCAAGCTTCTTAAGTTTCTCTCTATCAAACACAGCTCCCACTAGTCTCTCCCAATTATCGCAGTAGTTGTTATACATTTGAATAAAACTTTTGCAATTTTCAAGAGAAACACAGTGAATTGTTGAAACTTTAGACACGAGATTTCAACTGGGTTATTTATATAATCATACACGCTTAGTTGTGTGATTTCAGACATAACCCCTGAGCCAAATTATTGTAGAATGAGAATGAAAAATATAGTCGTCATTGGGGTCCACATAAGAGATAGAAAATTTGAATTTAAATGTTGATGTGATGGATAACGGTCATATTTTTCATTTTAATGAGATAATAATGTAGATCAATATTTTTTTTGCTGAACGTGCATTTGGTAAGCATTACGAGAGAGAATTGAACATTATAACATGAAATACTTAATTTTTCCTTAACACCGTTTAAAGTAATGCATTCTATTCTACCAATCATGCTTTGAGTGGAATATTTTTGAAGTGATGTGGCTCGAAAGCCATGATTCTTTAATAGTTTCATATCAATATCAAACCCTGTATGATTACATAACATTTCGCTGGACAATCTTAACTTGTTTCTTTGCAGAAACTCTTTGTTCTTCTAGAATGAGAGGGAGCTAGAAAATTTATTTCCATTTTATTTAAAAATCCTTAATTTTGAAAAGATCTCTTTGTTCTTCTCATTACACATGTTCTTCTCATTACACACGTATATCAAAGAAGGGAGAAGGAAAGCAAATGAGAGGGAGCTAGAAAATTTATTTCCATTTTATTTAAAAATCCTTAATTTTGAAAAGATCCCTTTTCTTCGGGTTTTCACATTTTCTTTTGAAATGGACTCTACCTCTGTCTCTGCATTTGTAGCAGGTCGAAACTCAATTCCTTCAATGAGGGAATTAAATAATCGAACAAAGTCCCAACAGCTGTGCCTCCACCGGGCCATAAAATCCTAGATCATTATAAAACATTCCCAATTGTAGTTCCATCCATCCGTCGGGTCTACCCACTGGTCGAAATTGAATAGTAGTAGCTCGCCTTTCGGCATCATGATCTTCATCAAGATTAACAAACTTGATAATCCCTTGAACTGGTTGAAGGTCCCTCGAAATCCTTTTCTAATCTATATACGAGAAAAGCTGCGTAACGAGTGTTTGGGGACAACATTTGTGTTTCTATCTTCCCTTGGATATCGAGCGCCCAAATATCTCTGAGTTCTGCCACCATTGAGAATCTGCACATCATATAAATGATATTCCCCTTATCAGAATGCAATTTCCAAATTATATTTAAAAGCAAAAGATTTGATGAATGATACCTGGAGCCTACGTGAGGTGTCAATTTCCTGTAATAATTAAAAGGTCCAGGTTTGACCGTTTGAGTCCCTTTGCTCCAATCATATAAAATTTCTGCCCCAGTAGTTCAAATAATTACTCCTTAAAATATGACAAACACCAAAATTCATTTTGTTTATATATTTTCTCTCACACAGTTCATGAATAATTTAATCTGAACAATATAACACAAGATTTCGAGATTATAATCAATACTTCATAACTCCATCTTAGCATTTTATTCTGTGATAAATTCAGCCACAAGTAAGAAGCTTGATAAATAAAAATGAATTATCAGAATAAGATTTTCATCTAAACATAATAATTAAGGATAAACATACCATTTTGCCTCCATCAAGTAAAATAGGTGAGCTACAAGACTCGTATAAAGATCTTCCTTGGTTGCATATGCCACAGGATTCACGGATCTGGAGATGATGTCCTCATAATCAGGCGGCAACAATCTCTCCCAATCCGTATCATTTACTGTACTTGAAGAAGAAGATCCAACTTGAATATTCTGATCATCTCGAATCGGAGTACTCCACCCAGATATACTAGGGGATACGGAGCAGGAACTTGGTTCCCTCGAGGAAATTAAAGCAAGTTGCCTGAGTTGTTCCCTACGGAGACCAACTTCCTCAAGTCTTTCCCAATTAGCATAGATATTAGTGTTAGGATTTTGGGGCTCCAATAACCAATTTTCGGGCTCAGAAAAACACCAACCGAATACCACATCAACCGGCTCGACTCAACAATCCTCTACACCTTGTTGCCTTCGTTTTCACCCCCACAAAGGAGGAAGGTGGTGGTGGTATATGCAAGTCACGTAGGGAGGAAGGAGAAAAGAAAACAGTGGTTGAAATCACCAAGAACTAACCACCCAACCCGGCTGCCTCACCATCTCTCGGCTGCCCTCTCTTTCTCTCGTTTCTCTCCCTCTCTTGCAAGACACACACTCCCAAATACTGCTGGAACATATGTATATATATGGTGGATCAATAGGTCAATAAATGGGCCAAGACATGATGTAATGGACCAAGACAAAACTCCAGCTAACCACAACATGGACCAACTATCCAAAAGGCTAAATGGGCTATACATCTATTACCACCAATCCAACCAAACTTAGGCCCTCCAATGTGTATTAATTGTT